GCTGGTCAGTAAGCAATAAATCATTTTCAACCCCGCCCCCATGTTCCCCAAACCCTGGAGGTTCTGAGCATTAGTCAGATCTCTTTCTTAAAAGTACTTTGGCTACACTGATCAGAGCCAACAGAAGATAATAAAACTATAGGTGACCCCCAAATGCTGGTGTTCTCGCTGACCTGCCACTTGGCTCCCAGTAAGATTCAATGGAGCAATTCTTTCTGCCCATGGGACCAAAGACTAGATGAGGACCCTGTAGGTGCAAGTCTATGGTCTCTAGATATAGTTTGAATGGCAAGGGTGCATTGATACATCATGAAGGAGGACTTATGAATACAAGAGAAGGAATAAAGTCAGGGCCTTCTTCTCAGGGCCTCACATTTCCAACTGTAAGCAAGGAAATGTTCAAGAGGCAGTAATCAGTCAAGAGGGAGCCAGTCTGGAATGACCACCATGGTGGCCCTAGAGGCAGAATGGGAAGAGAAGAGCTGTGGTTTCCATACCCTTCCCCAGTCTTACCTCAAGAGCAGAGACCAGAACAGGAAATAAGGAAGGTCAAGGATGGTGGTGAGTCTGTGTTTTTATTACCTTTGTTCTTTCCTACCACCTCCCCCTGCCTTTCTTTCTTTTGAAACTGACTTGTGTAACTCACATTGCTTTTATGCTCACTATGTAGTAGATGCTGGCCTTGATTCTCCTGCTTCCATTTCCCAAGTGCCAGGATCATTGGAATGAGCCACCATACCTGGCTTTATCTTTGTTCTTAGTATAATATTTTAACTCATAAGTTTACATGATTTAATTTTAATAATGGCTGTTTTTAACACTATTTTAATCCTGACTCCCAGGATTCCTAGATATTCAACAATCAGTTTTTAGTGCATCATGAAGTGAGAGCCCCAATACTGATGCTAGAAAGGACCAGGTAGGTGTCTTAGTTATTTTCCTATTGCTGTGATAAAACATCATGGACAAAGGCAACTTGTAAAACAAAGTATTTCAGTTGGGCTTGCAGTTTCAGAGGGTTAGAGTCCATAGCAGCAGAGCAAAGGCCTGGCAGTAAGAACAGCTGAGAGCTTATATCTTGATCCTTAAATAAGATGTAGTTGGGGTTGGTGATATTTTGTTATACTCTAATAAAATTTGCCTGAAGATCAAAGGACAGAACCAGCCATTAGATTAGACATAGAGGTCAGGCAATGGTGGCACACACCTTTAACCCCAGTATTTGGGAAGCACACATGCCAATAATCCCAGCACTAGGAAGGTTGAGCTAGGAAGTAATGGCTGGGTGGAGAAAGGCATATAAGGTGTGAGGAGACAGGAACTAGAGAGCCTTTTGGCTGAGGACTCAGAGGCTTTCAGTTAGAGGATTCATAGAGTTGGTGAGGTGAGAAGTGGCTGTGGCTTGTTCCTTTGTCTCTCTGATCTTTCAGTATTTACCTCAGTATCTGGCTCTGGGATTTTATTATAAGACCGTTTAGAATTTGTGCAACGAGAGAGAGAGAGAGAGAGAGAGAGAGAGAGAGAGAGAGAGAGAGAGAGAGAATGCACTGGGAACTGCACAAGTCTTTTGAAACCTCAAAGCCTGCCCCCAACGACGCATCTCCTCCAACAAGGCCATATCTCAAAATCTTTCCCAAACAGTTCTATCAACTGGGGAGAATATACAAGTTCTACCAACATATATATATATTTCAAATATATAAGACTATGTAGGTCATTATCATTCAAATCACACATCAGGCTTAGGAGACTCAGTGTTCAGGCTTATGAGGGTTAAACATACAGACCTCCTGTGGGTAAGTTTTGCTAGAGATACAGACTGTCCTCCTACTGAGGTCATCCAAGAGAATTGATATCATGCAGATGTTGCTCCTAAGGCCCAGAAGTGTCACTCCTGGACTCCCCTCAGTTCTGTGATTCATACTAACCATAAATTTCAAAATATAGTACAAAGCTATAGTAATCAAAATAGCCTAGTACTGTTATAAAAATTAGATAGCTCAATCAATAGAAAAGGAGCCCAGAAATGGAGCCAAACCAATTAATTTTTTCCACAAAATTACCAAGAACACACAATAGGGTAGATGTCAGTGATTGGTGCTATCCACATACTACAGAGAGAAAACAAACCTAATCTCAACTCTTGTGTAAGAACCAACTCAAAGGGGATGATAGGATTAAAACTTAGAACTGAAAAACATAGGAAGAGAATTGCCCATATTTTAAAGTAAAAAAATTCATATGAGTATGATTTTCTAACATCCTTGAAAGTCCTAGTGCTCCTAGGCTCCTATGCCCTGAGTGCCTTTCCACTGAGGCTCTGGTACTGACCTTGGATGCTCCTCTCTTGCTTATAACCAAGGATGTTCTTTTTGGTAGCAGGGTTGGGGTAAGCCTGAGATTAGGCTACCCAGAAGAGATAAGTGTCTGGGAGGAAAGGAAGAAAAGGTAGACAGAAGGAAGAAAAGGCTGGCAAGGGCTAAGGCCAAGGGCCCCTCAGGCATAGAGTAGAGCAGAGGCCATAAGTGCCTCAGCAGTAAGTGCCACCAGTCAGGGAGGGAGTTGCAAAGCCTGGGCACTGCTCCCATAGGAAGAGCCTCTGGTAGGAAGAAAGCTGTTCCTGTGAAGCCAGAGTACCAACATTCAGAGGCTGCTGACATAAAGGTCCCCAGCACTGTGGTCGTAGGCAGGAAGGCTGTCAGGCAAGCCAAGAATGTTGACTACAGCAGAGCAACCCTGGGGGTCCTGATCTGACCCAGGCAATGGCAATGCTTGACCTTCCTTTGATTACTGTGTATGCTAGAGACCACTGGAAAGGTAAAAATGAAAACGAGGAGAAGAGAACAGAAGGCTTCTAAGAACCTCAGTCAGACCACCTTGGATATACCTCCCCCCTCTGGGCCTTCACTTCCTCAGGGTCTCAACTGACCTTGTTTCCTCAACCGGGTATATGATGGCATTCACAGAAAAGCATAATTTCTAGAGGAACCAAGCTGCAGATGGAAGGTGACAGGCGGCAAGGTGAAAGGGGGCAAGAGAAAGGGAGGTTAGCCTTGGACACTGTGCTGTGATCCCCTTACTTTGCCCCTCTCCCTGAGAGAATAGTTTGAGCTACCTGCTCTCCTATGACTCCAAAGTCAAATACATGGTTTAATCTGCCTGCACTGTAACAGGACAGCCAGCAGCTGTGACAGACACCCCAAGCACCAGTGAGGGGTTGGCCCTGGCTACCTAGGAAATAAAGCTCAGGGAATATCTATGGGACAGAGGCATGGGTTACTCACATGTTTGCTCATTTGCTCACACATACTCACATATTCACACTCAACACTCATGCACTTACACTCACACAGCCACATATGCACACTCACAGGCTTACACACTCTCTTCATATATGCACACACATACTCATGTACAATACATACAATCAGTCAGGGATTTTTCTGAGATACAACAAATGTCATTACCCTTCCTCTCCCCACATCCTAAGAACAGGAGCCCATGTTCCTTTCAGTCCCGAGACTATCAAAGCAGAGTGGCCACACTTCAAGGCTATGGCACTCAGCTTTGTCATGGAGAAGCATGGCTGAGGTGCATAGCAAGTGAGCAGAAATCACTGGTGAATGAGGCAGGGCCTGGGTGTTAGAAACAAATGTGGCCCTAGGGCAGCTTGGACCGAGATCTCAGGGCTGAGCACTGCGGTTTAAGATGTCCAGGGCTTGCCGGGCGTGGTGGCGCACGCCTTTAATCCCAGCACTTGGGAGGCAGAGGCAGGTGGATCTCTGTGAGTTCGAGGCCAGCTTGGACTACCAAGTGAGCTCCAGGAAAGGCGCAAAGCTACACAGAGAAACCCTGTCTCGAAAAAACCAAAAAAAAAAAAAAAAAGAAAAGAAAAGAAAAAGAAAAAGAAAAGCCATTTTGAATTCTATAGTCAAAGATAGACATGAGCACAGGTTCTACAGAATTGGTTATGGCAAGACATTTCACAATCTTTACAGATTTAACAGAAGCTTCATGTAATCGGATAAATATCGTATTACCTGATATCTGACTTTGGGTTATAATTAAGAAATGAATTGGTCTATTCTATTCTAGTA